ATGATGATGATGATGATGATTAAAGGCCTCCCCTTTGATCGGGGGTGACGGCATGCATCATCTAGCCTACCTTAATAGTTCGAGTTTAAATTTTGTCCCTCAACTCGGATGTCTTTTTAATTTTGCCCAGCCGCTGCTCTTGGCTGGGATGTTATTTTATCGACTTCTCTGCTTTTCCTCCACCAATACTCCAGCCGCTGCTTAGTAATACGTACTGCTGACCAGTTAATGCTTCCATCAACCGCGAAGCCCAGCGCCTCAGGAAGTGTGACCTTCCTCCCATTTCTATCCGGCTGAATCTTTTGGCATTCCATGACTATGTGGTCGATTGTTTCTTTATTTATGCCACATCCAACACATGTCTCATCCTGTGACGAATATTTGCTCCTGTAAGTTAGAGTTCTCAAGCAGCCAGCCCGCGCCTCAAAGAGCAACGCACTACCTTTATTGTTGTCATAAAAGTTCTCTTTCCGGATCTCTTGTTTGCTTGCCTTGTAGATTCCCAGCGATCCCTTAATTTCCATCCTCTCTTTCCACATGAGCGTCTCTGTTTCCCTCACTTGCTTTTTAACTGGCCCCCTTTGCTTATTTGCCGCGGTCAAGTTATATTTAGTCGCCAGCTTTCGCGTCCTCTTCCGCCATTGGGTGTCCACACTTTTCAGGTACAAGTATCTGTGCACTCTGGCTGCCCAGTTCTTCTCATCTAAATGTCTAAGTCGCTCCTCTAACCGTATTTTACTTTGTGCTTCCCTCGCCTCAAATGAAGCCCAACCCATATTGCCTTGTACAACCTCGTTTGTAGTCTTACTGTGAGCTCCCAGAGCTAACCTGCCGACTGCCTTTTGGTTAACCTCCAGCCCCGACAGGATATCTGACTTTAAGCATAATACGGCATTAGAGAACGTGAGCGCCGGCACCATTACCCCTTTCCAGATGCCTCGTACTTATTGTGTCGCCAAAGTGCTCTATGTTTCATTACTGTTGCATTTCGTCTCCCTTTTAGTTTGAGGTGTTCTTCATGAGCATTCAGATAGCCTTTTCCTTCATTAAGCCAGATTCCCAAGTATTTGTACTTATTTACTAATGGTATGGCTTCCTGTTGTATCCTTATTGGTGCTACATGAGCTTCCTCGTTGAACACCATGACTCCAGATTTCTGTGGGTTAAAATGTAGGCCTAGGTACGTTGCCTCATCACCACAAATGTCAGCCAGTTTTTGAAGTTCTTCCGCATTATCCGCCAGCAGCACTATATCGTCTGCGTACATCAATCCCGGAATCCGTTGCTCCACTAACACTCCAATGCTTCGGTGTGACAAATCAAAGCCCAATCCACTCTCCTCTAGTCGTCTTTCCATTCCTCTAATGTACAGTGTGAACAGCAATGGCGAAAGAGGGCACCCCTGTTTTAAACCTCTTCGAATGTACACGGGCTCTGTGTATGTACGCCCTTCCCATGTAATGTGTGCCTTGTTATCCTCATATATTGCCCTTAGCAGCCCTACAAATTCCGACCCAATCCCCTCCTCTTCCAGTATATGCCACAGCAATCCCCTGTCCACGTTGTCATAGGCACCCTTTATGTCCAGAAACAGTAGCCATGTTGGTCTGCCCTGTGCTGCCGAAATTTCGATGGTCTGGGTTATGACGAAAAGATTGTCTTCCAAGCGTCGACCCGGCCTAAATCCATTTTGCAGTTCCCCTAAAATACCGTTACTTTCAACCCACTTCAACAACTCGGATGGCTTGTATAGCTAATCTATAGAGCACTGACGTGACTGTAATCGGCCTGTAAGAGCTCGCCTTGTCCCTTTCTCCCTTGCCTTTGTAGATCAAACTCATTCTACTTTCGCGCCAGTGCGCAGGAATCCTCTTGGATTTTATAGCGCGCTCGATGGCTCCATACAAGTGCGCCTGTCCCGCTGGTCCCAAATGGTTGATAATCTCTATCGGGATTCCATCCGGTCCTGTTGCCGTACTTTTGGGAACACTGTGTTCTGCCTTTTTCCAGTCCAAAAATTCGATATTAAATTTTTCATCTGCCACTATTTTATTTGCCACCTGTGTCCAGTTAGCCGACCTCTCGCGTGCTTGGCCGAAAGTATTTCCTATGACTCCATGTAGGTATTCTAATGCGCTGTCCCCCAGGAGAACGTTACCGTCCCCGTCCTGTATCTGAGTCTGCATCTCTTTAGTCGTCGTTCCCAATGCTTTTAAATGGTTACAGAATTTTTGGGGGGCGCTCTTATCCTTCTTACGTATGTCTGATACTCATTTCTCATTCGCAGCTTTAATCTTCGCTTGTACTAGTTTCTGCACCTCAAATTTCTTTTCTCGGTACCGGCTCCACTGTAACTGCACCTCATCATCCTGATATCCCATTTGCTTTGCTTTTCTGTGCAGTCTAGAGGCCCGTCGTCGCTCTTCAATAGCCAGTTTAATTTCCTTGTCCCACCAGCTTCGTGGTTTCCGTTTACCCCTCCAGCGGTTTTTTTTCCTTACTTTGTTTATTTCCTTTTGTATACAACTAACAAACTCGTCATATTCCCACACCTTTGTAGGATGTGCTTCTAATTCTCTTTCGATGCTATTGACGATGTCTGCTATCTGCTTTTCGCTTACTTTCGGGAGCCCAACCTCCTGTGTTTTCTTCCTAGCCCCCCCACTGTCAAATTTCAGGATTATACGCCTGTGGTCGCTGCCCAGACTGTTTTCTCCTTCTTCATCTATCGTCATTTGGTTCAACCGCTCGTAACTGTCCCCCTACAGTAGCGCTGCAGCGGTGGTTCGGGAACTAGACCTGTCACGCCAGTTTCGAAGCATGCGGTGGGCCATGGCCATACCAACGCCTCCTTTGTTAAGATGCCTGACGAATGGCTCGTGTTGCATTGCCAATGAAGTCGCCCTGACTTTAATTTTGAGCAAGCGCCGCGCAGTGGCGCTCGCGACAAACACTATTATGGACATCATTTGAGGGCAGGGATGCTAGCAGCAAGATAAAATAAGAAGTGATTGAGAGAAATGGGGGAGGAGCGTTTGGTTAGGAAAGTTTTCAGCGACTTGTACATGAAGAATGTCGATACAAAATGGAGGTAGCCAACCAGGAAATTGACTGGTAAATACTTAGAAAACAGCAGGTGGCCAAACCAAAAAGAACTATTGGTTAAGAAGAAAGTGAAGGAAACGGAGACTGACATGCGGAGAATTGGCATTATTAACGAGTCCGCATTAGAGATCTGTTGAACTTCTAAGCAGGAAATTGCCAAGAAAAGGATCTATGATAATACCCGGGGTAGTTATCTTCTGTTTGAGGCCAGGACGGGAGTGTTGCGAACCAAGACATATCGGGCCAAATACGAAGAGGTAGACATGGTATGCAGTGCATGTGGAGAGGAGGTGAAAACTGCCGAACACTTGATAATGTTCTGTAAAGAGCTTCACCCTATAGTTCAGAATGATGGCACAGAGTTTTTTAAAGCAGTGGAGTTTAAGGACAGAGAGGGCAAAATAGACTTTAAGCGGGTAGAATTTACTAAAAGAAGGTTGTCTGGTTTTTAGGAAAAAAAAGGTAAATCTAGTGATTAGTTCACTAAATATTATGGCTACGTGGCGTTAACCGCCGCCTAATCTAAAGGGCATCAGCCACATCCATTCATCCAATAATCTATTATCACGGCGTTTTTTTTTTTGTGGCTCCTAGGGGCGCGTCAGTCGAAAGTTATCCAAGATCTGGAACTATACACGACTATTGCGGAGGCTATGCAAAATGTCAAGCTGTTGCACCATCCACCACAGGTGACGCTAAAGACCGACAGTAATCGGTCTTTAGCACTGGGCAGCCTGGGCAGCCAGAGTGCACAGATACCTGTACCTGAAAAGTGTGGACACCAAATGGCGGAAGAGGACGCGAAAGCTGGCGACTAAATATAACTTGACCGCGGCAAATAAGCAAAGGGGGCCAGTTAAAAAGCAAGTGAGGGAAACAGAGACGCTCATGTGGAAAGAGAGGATGGAAAAGAAGGGATCGCTGGGAATCTACAAGGCAAGCAAACAAGAGATCCGGAAAGAGAACTTTTATGACAACAATAAAGGTAGTGCGTTGCTCTTTGAGGCGCGGGCTGGCTGCTTGAGAACTCTAACTTACAGGAGCAAATATTCGTCACAAGATGAGACATGTGTTGGATGTGGCATAAATAAAGAAACAATCGACCACATAGTCATGGAATGTCAAAAGATTCAGCCGGATAGAAATGGGGGGAAGGTCACACTTCCTGAGGCGCTGGGCTTCGCGGTTGATGGAAGCATTAACTGGTCAGCAGTAGGTATTACTAAGCAGCGGCTGGAGTATTGGTGGAGGAAAAGCAGAGAAGTCGATAAAATAACATCCCAGCCAAGAGTAGCGGCTGGGCAAAATTAAAAAGACATCCGAGTTGAGGGACAGAATTTAAACTCGAACTATTAAGGTAGGCTAGATGACGCATGCCGTCACCCCGATTCAAAGAGGAGGCCTTTAATCATCACCATCATCATCAATCGAAAATGAAGGAGGAAAAGGGTGTGGCAGCTCTGTGTATTCTCACGTGGCAGGCATCTAAATAGAGGAGGCGTTGGCCGTACCCGTGCGCTTTTTCATCCAGTGGTCGTGGTACCAGTCCTCAACTTCACTATTTGAAGAAAAAAAAAGAATAAACTCAAATTGTGTTTTACTAAGTATTACGGCTGAGTGCCGCTAGCCGCCTTTCATTCTAAAGGATACAGTTATAGTAATCTATCCATTTATTCATCATTTGAGGGAGCTCACACGGCACGGAGGAAGTTTCCTCCGTGTCACACGGTCACTTCTGTTATGGTGGCTAGAATGTATGGTGGCTCTCTCTAGCCACCACACCTCTGTGGAGGGAGCAAAGGAGGAGAGAACAGGAAAGGACCGGAAACCAACTTTTAGGCTGAAGTCGCAGGCATCTTTTTAGAGGGGGTGTTACGTGAACTGACGTCATTAAAATTTGATGGCCGTATGTGGCTAGGTTTTAGGTGTTCGGTTAACTGCTGGCTGAATTGGTAGAAATTTACGTGTGAATGTTCATGGTATCCGCAAGAAAAACACGGAAGAAAAATGCAGCTCTAGTGAAAGAGTGTTGTCTGTGTTGTGATAAAAGCCTGAAGAGGTTCACGAAAGGCGTGGTGAGTAGACTTTATGCCGCAAAATGCGTGCGCGTTCTAAACGTAAGCCTACAGTGCCGCTTTGAAGTTGTGTGAACGTTGAATGTGAGTCGTCCTCCGCGGCATTTCGTTTTTTTGAGGCACGGTTCCATCTCCAGTGAGGTTTTCTTGCCTCCGCATGTAGCACACTGGCGTGTTGTGGGTCATGTCACCGCGGATGAGTTGCCCGGCTAGCTGTCGTGTCTTCAAAGCTAGGTGTCGGCTCGAAGGAGAAAACGAAAGAACCTGCCGTCACCCTTTGCATTTCCCGTATTCCGAACAGTTCGCATTTTTCGTGTAGTCTTCAAAAAATAAAACGCAAAGCGTAGGGGCTTTCTCCGGCCATACTTTAAAGGCGCACTTGCCCTGCGGGAGATAGCCTTCTGCGACGGGTACCTGCTGTCGGCGTTTCGCTTTCTCTCGTTAGGAATTTGTTATTGTGCATCGTAAATTTAGGAGATGGTGAATTGTCTGATCGAAAGACACCTGTTCGGTGTTCAAACCTGTTTCTTGTCCTGCTATAGCATCTGCTCGAGGGCTTACACAACTCGGCTGTTGTCACTCCCGTCAAGCAAGATGGTCATTTCATCGGCGCGTTCGTGCTCGGCTGTGCTTCAGTCGTATGAATTTAAGAGACACCCCTGTATAAAGGTTCATGCATTGGGTGTGCATCATTAGTATTGTAGCTTGCAGTCTTATTTGCATAGGACTAGACCAACGTGTCCGCACTTGGCAACGAGCGAAACGCCGCCCAGTCTCATCTCGTTGCGCTTGCGTACAAATCTCACGCCAAGGAGCTTGAAAAAAGTTCGCGAGCCAGAAGAAAACAAATCTGCTACGCAGAAAGCACCTCTCCTGGCGCATGCCTTGAATCGGTGCGTTTGCGTACACGCGGCCCGCAAGCAAGCTCACTTGCCGTGGTTCGTGCGCGCTTCTCGCGAAAGTGCATCTGTCCCCTTGGGTGACAACAGGTTGTGGTTTCAGGAGACGCGCTTCTTGGCGAGCGCGGCGTCGACCGCTTTGCCCACACGGCAAGTCACGCATAAAGTAGCGGGGCTTGGCCATGAGCGAAACTCCCAAGTAAGGCAGGGCCCGCCGCTCGACGTCACGTAAGCGTGCGGAGGCGACTATCCCGCGCGGAAGCCGTAAGCAGCCTCCGAGCGTTCCGCGGCGGACTTGCCGATTGTGCACGCACTTCCGCATCTGCCGGCGTTGTTGTCTTGAAGGGAAGGAGAAGCTTAACGTTGACGCGCCGCTGTTGATACGGTTGGTTTTCGCGTATACGATGTGGGTCACGGACGCGGCTGTCACGCCCGTGTATACTTTGTGCTGGGCCTCACCGAGAGGGCTTGCCCCACCTGAGGTGAAGCGATGGGCGTGCACAAAGTGGCCAATTGTCTCGATCTCTTCCCACCTGCCGGAGGGACAGGTGTCATTGTTGTAGAAATCATTAAGCTCGCACACGACAGAAGGCTGCGCCAGATATTGTGCTCACTTTGTTGAGGATGAGTGGCACGGAATGTCGCACCACTTGACGAGAGAGAGAAACAACATTAAAAAAAAAAAGTGGTTCATCGCTGGTAGGGCCCTGCTTGAGAACTGTGAAAACGTGCTAATGCTGGTATTTTAATAAATATTGCCCTCAGATTACCAAGGCGCGTGGGTTACTTCATTCCATGCTTTTCGTGTGTGAAAGATATTAGCAAGCTTATTTTCGGTTGTCAAGCGCGCCGTGAACGTGGCAGGTAAACGGGATTGTTTGCTTTTGTGATGGAAGTGGGAGAAGGTCGTTGAGTGAGGCTGTGAATTTTCGCTGCCTTTTGTTTCCTGTGTCGTTGACAGCTGTAACGGTCGCACAGTTGTCAGGGGCCTAAAACAAACTTCAATATCTATGTGGACAGGTGTTGGCTGTGGAATGAGGCTGGAAGCAGTGCTTAAATGCAACAAGGAAAAAAAAAAGCTCTGAGCTGGGTAATGCTCAATTTTTGGGTTCATTATACATCCCAGTACTACTGAACGAGGGTACAACTTTCTTTTTATGCACTGAATTGATTTATTCCTTATTTTTTGCACTGCCCATAGTTGTGCCCAAACAATGTGTCACTAGGTTTCATTAATTAACATGCAAGCAGATGTGCTCTAGAAATCAATGGATTTTTTGTGTAGATACTGTATTAAAATTATTTGTTACAATCTGAATAGCAAAGCTTTACTGATAATTTTTTAGAATTAAAAAGCTATTAATTCGGTGAGCAGTAGCGATTTACTTGCTACATTTCTGCTGCTGATCCAGTATGCATGCCACTGAAAGTGCTTGGGCAGGTCATTCGGTTATACAGGCAAGACATTGCTTTTGAGAGTGCGCGTGAAATATTTTGTAAACTATTCCTTGGGCGATTGCCTGTTGTCGCCACTTCAGGCTACGTTGACACAGCTGCTGCGGGAAGCAAGAAGCTATGTACTTGGGCTCATTGAATAGTGCACGACGCAGTTATAATATCCTAACTTGATAGGTTGTGTCTGCACGGTTGTAATTTGAAGCTGCTTGTATAGTCCTGCAGTGGACCTAAATCAGGCAGATGGTGTTTTCAGTGCCTAGCACAAACTATTGTGGACATTCAGTTGATGAAACATCACCCAGATGGCATGTTTTAGTGCAGCTACTCTTAACCCAAAACTTGAGCTCAACTGTAGAGATAGAGCAAATGACTTTGGAAGCTGTGGCATTGTCTGTGCGGCCAAACTGCATATAACATGTGTTCGAATTACGCGTGTGACAACTCTTATATGTTACTCTGCAGTCATAACATGATGTTTGCATTGTCAAGCTTGTTTAACGTGTCACTATGACTTGATTTTAATAATGTAACTTCGTAGAATTTACTGAATAGCGGAGACGAATGAAAACTGAATGATTGTGTTGCTTTCTTTGCTTCATACTGGTATGTATTGTATAGTGGATAAAAATATGTCTCTCCACCTGGCTGCTATTTTGCAATAATGTTTTCAGTGCTTTATGAGTGGTTAGAGTGATGTTATATCTATGTTATCAACGGGATCACCTGGCTGTGGCTGGATAACACCACTAGCATGTATTTGGAACATATGACACTACTGTTAAATGGCAGTCCTCTTCTGCAGTTAGCACCTTAAATTATTTAAAATGATTGTTGCTGGCAAATTGAAAATCTTAGTGTGCTAAAGCAAAGTTCTGTCTTTAGGTTATTCATAGTGGTGCATCTACATGTGTAGCTCTCACTGACTACAATGACTATTTTTACTAAATTACAAAGAACAGTGCTCACTTGTTGTCTTGTTATTTTTTGTTGTTTGCGTGCTGTGTCACGAGCTAAAACCAACTCGATAAGGCTTCCACTCTCGTATCTTTACAACAATTTTTATATGGTTGTGGGTCTTTTGCTTGCTGTAGAGTTTAGTGCTCCTTGTTTGTTTGCACTTGAAATCTCACTACTTAGGTTGAATAAGCTAGAAGTTTGGGAGAACATGGAAACTAGAAGCAGTGAAGAATCTGGAGCCATTGTTTTGATTAGGGGACTCGTATTTGAACCAGTTGCAGTCTTGAAGAAGATGAGCCTGCTTGTTGAAATGTATGCACCTGTAACAAGAAAGGTGTCAAGCTCAGTATTTCAGGTTGACTAGAAAGTAAGGCAGGTCATGGGTCATGAACTGAATCAAAACTTATTTTGTTAAAAAAATGCAGGGCAGGGGTACAACAACGTGGGGCTGGTGACAGCCCCCAGGCCTGAGAAGATGGCACTGGTCGTGGGCCTGGAGCAGTTTGTGCCCCAGCTAAGCAGCCAGGACACCAAGAAGCGGCTGCAGCTGGGCGCCACTCTGCTTTCTTACCTGGACGACCCACTGAATCTTGTGGACTGCACAGAAATGGGCGCTGTCATTGATGGTCTGGTTGCCTGGTTGAACAGCAGCAACTCAAAGGTAAACATCCTTTCTTGTGGGAAGTAGCCACAATGTAGATATTCTCATGCTTGCTTACTCTTTTTCACCTCTGCTGTCCTTTTCTGTGGTAACTTTGACTAGCCAGAAAGCAGGACAGGCCCTTGCTAACACCTTGTTTAGCGTCTTATGGTTGGTCGGTATCGGCTTTAACGTCCCAAAGCGACTTGAGCTGTAAGAGGTGCCATAGTGGAAGGTTCCAGGTAGTTTCAAGCTACTTATCTATGTATTCATTTCACTTACCGATTGCCAACTGGACAACCAGGAATATAAGAAGCACCATGTGTTGTTCATTTATTACCAATGTCTGTGTAATGTTTCGTTGTTCTAGCAGTGAATCCATGCTTCAGAAGGTTATGCTAGAATGATGTAAAAAATGTAAAAAATGACAGACCTATCTTATATCCATAGCTTTTTACACTGTCTGAAAGGCATTCTTTCTATGTAAAGAGCATTCGCTGTCTTTCAAGTGAAGAATAAGTACAGTGCCTTGTCAGGTGTTGTTCATAAATGAATGTACAGGAAACACAGTCAGTCAATGAGAACTTTGTGCACACGTGGAGTCGAGTGAATCCATAAATACTGCACAAGAGTATGCCTCGCATGGGACTGTTTATGTGTACGTCTAGAAAGCAGAGAACATGTTCCTATACATTCACATCATCTTAGGGCCCCCAGCTGGTTGAGATGCTGCGTGAGGTCAAACGGTGACATCAGATTAGAGGCGGTGCTCTTTGCAGTCCTTTATGTATCCCCTTGGCTCGACTCACAAGCTAAAGAAAGTGGGGGAGAGCACAAAAGAATGACTCCATGTCCTCCTCTGCACTGACACTCTCTAATGAGAGTGACCTAGGGCCTCCAGCGCTGAGAACCTGTCTGTGATGTCACATTATAACTATGCGTAGGAGTGCTAAAGTGCAGATGCCAGGTAGTGTGGGGGCCTTGTCTAATGTAATAATTTACACATATATTTTGTGTATGTAAATGTTTAGTTACCTTTGGTTTATGCAGGTGAAGTACTGTCTGTGTGGTACTATTTGGATTCATGCATGTATCTATGATACCACTTCTGAGCCAGAAGTATCTGTATAAAACAAAAGATGCCCATGATGGGACCTGCGTTTACACTATACTCCGAGTATACAAAAAGTTGTTAAACTGAATTGCTGCTTATATGGAACTGCCTCTTACAAGATTGATTTCATTCCTGAATTTGGCACCCTCCACCCCCACCAAGGGCGTCTTCCCAAGCAGGCATTTGGCGAGTGGCATCACCACGGACCCGAGCCAACGGGGGTGTTGGCGCAGGGAAGACATCGCGCCTGGTCTTTTTGTTTGATCCAACTTCGCCGGACTTTCCATTTGGTGCATGAATTCCATGTGTGGACGACCTTCTCCTACGCCTAGCCATGTGTGGCTTAGCCATGTCTGGGGAAATGGTATCCTAGGGGTTGAGCCGACTCCGGATAATTGGGCCTTTAGCCCCCGCCCCCCTTCGGCAGGGGCAACACACCCCTTTGGCCCCAGCTTCACATAGACTACAACCCTAGGCTGACCCACCCAGGGGCAATCGGCAGTCTTTTCCTATCTCTCAACTCTTCATTTTTCCTCATTTATATGGCCTTTCCTGTCTTCTAACTTCTATTTACTTCCTTGTTTCCTGGCGGCAAGGGTAAACCTCGTGGGGTTATCCTTCCTTGGTGTCATGATTTTACCTTGGAAGCGCTTGCAGTGGGTGGGTAAACCATAATAGGTTATAGTGACGGCGTACTGCCGGGCTTGTGCAGGCCCGTTTATGTGCTTTGCCATCCCCTTGTTGGGCTCCGTGGTGGGCGGTTGGCGCCGTTGACGAACAATCACTTTTTCCACGTGTTTGCGCTCTTCTTGTGTGAGACAGAACTCGAAAGATGGTGCAGGCCACAACCACCACCCAAACCAAGCCGGCCAGCCGGAGGCTGGAGCTGTAATGTGACACCGAAGTGAAGCCCCTGTGGTGAGCGCGGGTGCGTGACTGTGCGTTAGTGACAAGAGCATTCGGAAGAGGGACGGCTGTGCAACTGGAGAGGCACTGTATTCTCGTCTCTCCAGCAGTTTACTTCACCCTAAATAAACGTAATTTTGTTATAATAATCGTCGTTTCTTTGCCAGTCTTTTCCCTTCCGTCTCCCGAATCATAATCATTTTGCATCTAACAATTCAGAAGTGGGATTGCGTACGCTCAAAGTCATCCATCGAGCCCAACCATGCCTGTCACTCGCAAGGGAACATCTTCAACGGCCCCGACAAGCAAAGAAGATGGCAGATGGTGAAGCACTGACAGCGGGGAAGGCAGCACTTGCCGAGACGTCCCCAATAGCGCCTCCACCAGCGGCACCACTACAGCTCCTGGACCAGCGTTCGACATGGCGGCAGTCCTTAAAGCCACCATACAAGCAGCAGTGAGGGAAACCATCAACGGGATCGCGCATCTCCAGTCGCAACAGACAGCAGCCATGCCTGCAATTAGCCCAGGGAAGACATCGCGCCTGGTCTTTTTGTTTGATCCAACTTTGCCGGACTTTCCATTTGGTGCATGAATTCAATGTGTGGACGACCTAGCAGAAGTCTACCGCTGGACAGACAGAGTAACATGTTGCCATGCACTCGCAAAGATGATGTGGTACGACTCTCTCTGTCTATTAACAAAACCTGGCCCGAGTGAAAGGTAGAGCTGAAGCGTGCCTTTCTCACAACTGCAGGAAAGCAGAGGCTTTACCGGGAAATGGAGGACCGAATTTACAAGCGAGGTGAGCCTATCGACTGTCACTGTTATGACAAATTGGCAAAAGTATGTTGTTCTAACCTCGGCGAAGAAGCTTGCATCGAATATTCGATCACCGGCTTAAACAATCAGGATACCATTCGAGCCATCAGCACTCGCACGTACGACTCTACGGAGGAGCTTCTGCATTGCCTCTAGTGTCTCGAAGAGCGCGTCTTAACAGGTGGCTCCTGGTACTCAAAATATTCGGAAGCGAGTGGCTTCCAAAATCTTGTGGGCCATGAAAACGAGGAAAACCAAGCGGCGAAAAATGGCTTTGAGCGAGACTAAATAAAACTAACGAAACTGAACCAAGGAGGGAGACCGAACTCTCCGAACAGAGTACCGAAACCCCTCGCTTGAGAAAGGAAGGCCGCAATGTTTTAACTGTAACAAGTACGGTCACCTCTCTCTCAACTGCTCGAGTCCGCAGCGGAGGACGAGGTGCAACATTTGAAACCGAAGTGGACACAAAGCCCAGAACTACAGGGGAAGGCAAAGTGAGTCGTGCCTCTTTCAATGCTTTGTGGATCTCGACACTCATGCAGCGGACGGGGCGAACGAAAAGTACTTCATGCTGGCTAAAGTTAACGGGAACGAAGTAAGAGTGTACGTTGACCTCAGCAGTCAATGTGTCACTATTCAGGATGAGGTTGCTGATCGGGTCGGGAACAAATGCAGGGTGATGGAGAAGCCGCTGACCATCGGGGGCTATGGGTCAGGATATGTGGCGCCGGTGTGGTGAGGCAAACGCTAACCTCACAGTTGACTAATAGCTGACGTCTCCGTGCTAGTTGTGTGTGCCAAATGAGTCACAGGCGATTCCTATCATCGTGGGGCAGCCCATCACCGAGCGACAGCACGTTACGGTCGTGAGGTGACGGAACACTGTGCGTATTTTGAAGAGAAGAAAAGTCTGGACGAAAGTGATGACACACTCCAGCCCATCAATATTCTAGATCTTCTGAGGTGCCTGGTCTGCCTTTGGGCCAAAGAGTTGACAGTTGTTCCAAACTACGCTGGATTTGTCGAGCCATGCGGTTACAGGGAGCTAAACCAATGTCGATGTTTTCGTGGAAGACCAACCCAGGTGCCAAGAGGGGCATGACCATTGCTTTTGCATGTTGCGTTGTGAACGCAGATGCAGGAAACAAGACCTGCATTTCTGAAATGAACATTTTGGACCAGGAACAACAGAATATCCAAGCCAACGAGCAGGCCCCGCCGCGGTGGTCTAGTGGCTAAAGTACTTGGCTGCTGACCCGCAGGTCGCGGATACGAATCCCGGCTGCGGCGGCTGCATTTCCGATGGAGGTGGAAATGTTGTAGGCCCGTATGCTCAGATTTGGGTGCAAGTTAAAGAACCTCAGGTGGTCGAAATTTCCGGAGCCCTCCTCTACGGTGTCTCTCATAATCAAATGGTGGTTTTGGGACGTTAAACCCCACATATCAATCAATCAATCAATCAAGCCAACGAGCAGGTTGCGTCATCGGAAGTCTGCTATTTCAATGAAAGGCCGATGCAGCACGTGGAATCAAGTTGATGGGCCTTGCAACCATGTTCAACGGTGACCGTGAACGTCAAAACGGGCCCAAGCGTCACCACAAGCACCTTGCGAGACTCCATCGACCCATCAAAGAGTACCACAACTGTTTTGCTGACAGCGTCTTGGAGATTCGTCTCACCAATGCAGCGAAGATGAAGATCAAAATAACAACCAAAGAACCCGTAAGGTTTCGCCCATGTCGGTTTTCGTTTGTGGTAGCTAGCATTCGTGAAGACCAAATGAAACAGCAGGCAAGACCCAACAACAAACGTTCGACTTACGAACCAGGAGATGTTGTATTGATTGTGCGAGAGCCTACAGATTGTGGGCAATCGAGGAGAAATACAGAGGACCGTATAGCATCATGGAAAAACTACCCGATGGCCGATATCGCATCGAGAGGCTGCTCAGTGCACGGCGTGAGAGGAACGCATGCAGCAGCACAACTCCACTGGACAGTCTCGAGCTGTGGGGCCAAGACGAGATAGACTCAGATGAGTCAGACAAAAGACTCTGGCCGAGACGGTCGGTAATTGCGGGACGGTCGAGTGTATGCGTTCTTCTTGTGCGAGACGAAACTCGAAAGATGGCGCCAGGCCACAACCACCGCACGAGTCGAGCCGGCCGGTTGGAGA